TTGGTTACGTTTCTTCGTAGGCATGATTCTTTTATAAGATGAGAAAATGAGCTTGTGAGTGATTATGGTTAGCTTTAGATATATATAAATTTTTCGTTTCGCTATACTGATCCCAAAGATTTGACCTACATCCCTATGATGCAGTCCTGGTAAGAGAGTAGAATGAAGTTTCTAGAATGGTTACCAGACGAGTGTCATCCGAACGAAGTTATCTTTGGTTGGTGGATACTATGATTCAGTTTTCGAAAAGATTTGAAAGTAATTCATAATAGAGTCTACAATAAATCGACTTATGAATTTGAGGAGTAATCACTCTTGATTGAGATTTCGTGATCCGAATCATTGTTATTAGCCAATACAGGAAAAGATGATAAGTTCGAAACCTAATGTGAGTAATGTATTCATTAACTCACTAGGTTGCATTATTTATTAGTTATTACTGTGACAAAAAGGCACTCAAACACTTCGCATGTAACACGTGTGGCCCTCCTCCGTTCTCCGTTCTACTCTGGGTGATAATGATTTGTTCTCTCCTGATATTTATAGGGTGTCCTTCTCCTTCGTATGTATATTGAATTTCTGTGCCGTCTTACTTCCGATTCTTACACCGATCTCCATTTCTTCATAATGAAAAGTTCGAATCCCGGGAGTTCATGCGAATGCAAGTTTTTCGTTTTGTTATACTGTTCTCGATGATTCGACCTACGTCTCTGCTATGTTTCTATAGTACTGTAAAAGCATTTAAGTTATTAAGAAAGAGCATTGACGTTAACATCTTAAGTCGGTTTGGGTTTTACGCGGAGGCATCTTTTACTATACAGATTAAAAGGTGAAACGATTGTAAGATATCAGAATGAACATGAATTTGATATCTCATAACCAAAGCACTTAGTTCGATAGGGATCTTGTAAGGAATTGGAATTAGAAGTTCAATATAAGTACGACTTGTAACAAAATAATGTGAAATTGAGTGGTTACTTTTTCAAAATGTAAGAAGTAAATGTCGATTATAGGTGTATTAAGTACATAGAGTTTGGAAAATTTGACCTTAAACAGGTCTATAATACACCACGATTCTGGGAAAAATATCGACATTAAGATGACCTACCGAAAATGGATTTTCGCGGTCGAACTGAAAAAGCATGAAAAATAATTCTAAGACATCTCCGAAGACTTAGACTATAACCAAGAGAGTAAACAGAGGGCGAGTAGAGTATGATCTACTTCCTACTAGATTCGGCCCTGGGTTTGGCTAACTGGCGTTCTATTTCGAATATACGCATATCTTGTACAACTTGATGTTCTCGTAATTGTTGCACTTCGGCTTGGGAAGCCGCCAGTTCTCCCTGTAATAAGTTGGTGCGATCCCTTGTTGCGTTATGATTGTCTTCTAGGTTGCGAAGACGAACAGCGTCGACACCAGTGGTAGTCTGGATCTGTACCACTCGGTCGATGATAGCTCTTCCCTGTTCTGTGTTGCGAGAAACGCGACGAACCAGCACGGGAAGTGCTCTATCTGCTGAACCTCCAGCTTCTAGGTTGTAAAAGTTTCGGTCTCCTTGGTAGGGGAAATTTTGACCTTGTTCATGACTCCACCTTTCTAGGTTTATGGCCCACAGAGGCGTCGGGCCTTGAAAGTTCTGACGAGGGTTAGGGTTCTGAGCAACTGGAGGTGGATTATAAGCTTCTGATCCGGAGTCGTCGTCTTCTAGAAAGTCTTCAGTAACATCATCGTCTAGGGGAATTGCAGGCTCATCTTCTGGTTGGGCACCGAGCTAACCAGCATTCCCTTGATTAGGAAGGTACGGATCTCCGGGAGGATGGAATCCAACCATTTGCTTATGATCGAGAATAGAGATAAGAGAAATATATATAAAGCTTGAGTGTAAAAAGAAAATTTTACGATAAGACCTTACACCGAGTCCTCCTATAACTACCTAGTGTATACGAATCACATACAGCCAAGATCGAATAGGCCATTAGATAAGTAGCTTCACTTTAAGCCCTCATCCACACAAGGAAAAGGACCTAAAGCGAAATCATAAACCCTAAGCCTATAAAATCTCAATCATGTGCAACCTTAAAGTATGCACTTTGCAATTATAGACTTGCCAGTAAAGGTTTTTAGTTTTTTTTATGGGTAAGATTCTATTTATTTGACGATTTATAGATCTAACAAAATATCGAGGTTCACACGTTTATTTAAGTTCTTATAATACCATAAAATACTCCTATAGTATTTTAAATTTGTAAGTTTGATTCTAGTGTTTTCTTTGGTAAGTTTTTGACTTGTTGCTTACTACGACCATTCCCCGACATACGTTGGTCATATCTCGGATAAATATAGTTGATCAGGCTATATTCATCCTCGATCTGATTACATATTCTGAGGCCTAATCATAGTGTCCAACTTGCCTTAATACTTTTGTATAGTTTTGACTATGATACTAGATCGTTGTGCATGCATGTACTTATACTTTTATAAAACTAGCATTTAAAATTTTTAAAAATATAGTTTGTGTGAAAACGTTTATTCAGAGAATTTTAGTCCCTTTGTATTTATAGTTTGTATATCTAATGTGGTTCGATATACTTAGTTCACTATAAACAATGCTCTGATACCAATCTGTTACACCCCCAAACCAGAATGGTGGAAACATTCGGGGGTGGGTGACTTCACGTAGTATCATAACAGTTGAATATTTGTAAAGAAAGTAAACACAACCATCATAATATAATTTGAAAGTTACATTGTTGAATACAATACATGTCTCAAAATAAATTATAATATGATGATTTAATAAGTTTTAAGACTGACGTCTTAGCCTCCCTTCTCCAAAAGCTGATGATTTACCTGTATTACTGAATCCCTGAGAAATACAAGTAGTTTTGAAAAAGTGTCAACAATTAAGTTGGTGAGTTCATAAGCGTTTTTGTATAAGAATAGTATCCTTTTTAGTGTAAAATAACTGAGTTTGTTCCTAGAAAATCCAATATTTTCCATATATGTGTGGTAGTTTGAAAAAGTTCCAAAGACTGAATGCATAAGTGTTTTCCATACTTGCAATAGTATAAGTAGATTTATATAAGTATATATAATCACTAAGGCGTTTAACAGCCCCGTAAACTGAGATGTATTAATACCTCATGTGAGTTTTTATAACCGTGCTATTGACCCAGGCTGCCTGTAACAGCGTTCTTCAGGCGTTGGAATGATATGACGTTTGTCACCCCATACCTGCTGGTCTAACTGTAGCTAACAGTTTAGGTGCGGGATTGTCAGTCCCATATAGATCTATACACAAGTATCACGCTCTCCCTACAAGAGATTATGGCTTATAAAACAGGACTTAATTTGCGAACTGAACGGTTCGATGAATTCAGATATCTCACAAAAATTGGTATCAACAGGTTTACATATGAAAAGTCCATTTTCCTTGTGAATATAAGTATTTCCTCTTTTGTTTATAGTATGTAAAAATATCATGAATATCTCGTAACTACACCTATTATAGTTTTTAAAAAGGGTGTTCCGTTAGGATGAAAAACCTTGGTGTATTACCAACCTTGCATGAAAAGTAGTCTCTAACTTTAGTAGTTACGTTATTTTATGTATTTAACATTTATACATAAGATGTAGGTAAAACATTTGAACTTATAAGCATTTCAACGTAAGTTTTTCTTGTGTTTCACTTGTATTTCCCCCCTAAAACGTAGAAAAGACGTGAAAATATAGGGGTATGAACTCACCAGATAAGTGGTGAATCGGGCAGCATGTCGTTTCTAGGAATGATCTTTCTTGACGTAACTGCGGGTTTCTGGTGAAGAAACGAGCTTCACGCGGGCAACACTTCGACTGGAAAGAATGTTTTTCTCGGGAACTTCAGGGCGTCGGGACTCGCGTTGTGTTTTAGGGGTGTTACCGGGGCTTCAGGGTGGTTTAGAGGGGCTTAACAATGTGTAGAAGTAGGAGAGAGGATAGATTTTAGCAACCAAGGTCGGAAGGCTTTGATTTCTATATATAGCCAAAGATTTGACTCTCACGTCGTGAGTTTGGTCCCGATTCGCTCATGGCATGCGTCATAAGTCCACTTGCTCTGGAAGAGTCAATCAGCCTGCTCACGTCGTGAACACTGTGTTCACGTCGTGAGCTCTGACATAGTGTCAAAGTTCGTGTCCCGAACTTCAGAAATTCATATCTTTCGCATACGAACTCCGCTTTCGACGTTCTTTATATCCACGCGTAGGTGAGATTATGCTCTACAACTTTCGTTTAGACTCCGCCGAGTAGTTTTGACTTAAATTTTAATATTATATTTTTAACAGGCCGGGAGAGGAAAAGTCCGTTAAAAATTCATATCTTCTTCATCTGACGTCCGTTTTTGTCTGTCTTTTTACTGTACTTCTACCATTGTCGGGATCTTCGATTTTCGTTAAGGTTGCGTCGGCTAAAAGTCGCTCGATCTCTATTTCGTGTTTTTAGCTGTCTATTGCTATATCCGAAACTTAGAAAATCATAACTTCCTCATACGAAGTCAGATTTGGACGTTCTTTTTATGCACGTTTACGGTTTAACATAATCTACGACTTTCGTTTAGATACCTAAGGCTAAAAAGTATTTTATTGAAATTTCACTTTTACACTTAACAGTATTTTACCGGTTTTGTCGCGATTCTTTGATTGGTCATAACTTCTTCGTTATAACTCGGATTTTTGTGTTCTTTATATTTCTGAAAACCTTGATACGATATCTAACATTTTATGTAACCCAATAGAGACTCTTGAACATTTCATTTTTGACGCTATTTTTATTATATCAAAAATAGATTACAATACTTGAATTTAGAACATTACATTGTCTTGAAATATCGGGTTGTCACAACCTTGTTCATGCCAGAAACATTTTTATCAAAAGTTGTTTGAAATGAATTCATGAAAGCTTCTTGCTTTGATGAAATAGTATTGACTTCTGAGAGAATCGTGGAGACTTGCGAGCTAGCTTACGTGATTATTTTAGAAGAATCTTCAACAAGCTTCTTGTGTTGTGAAAGATTATTAGCATTAGCTTGAACCAGCTTCTGAATTGTTTCTTGATGAGAAGAAATCAGCTCTCCATATTTCATATTCAATAAAGTAGAAGACTGAGAAAGAATTTCATCTAACTTCTTGTTCAATTTGCGAAAATCTCCTTTAGTCATCGGAGCATCATCATCATCATCACTTTCCACATGAAACGAAAAATCAGTTGCAACAAACTCATCATTGGACTCAGAATCATCTTTCATGAGAATTTCTTCTTCAAAATCATCAATGACAGGTGGAGTATAAGTAAATTCTGGTGCATACACATGTGATTGAGACAAATTCACACCGATATTGACATTTGGCCCCACATCTTACGTGTTACCAGGAATGCTTGAGGTTTTATTCGCCCCTCGATTGGATTCAAAAGTAGAAGCCTCTGGTGGAGGTTCTGTATAAGTTGTGGTTTGAGATACAGAAGTAATAGTTGCCTTAGTAAAAATAGGAATCTCAAATGATTTTGTGGAAAACTGAGAAACAGGAACAAAAAATGTACTTGTTGGAATTGGAGTGGATTGAGAAGTAGTAGAAATAATGGGAGGTGTAGGAATCTCAAATGGTTTTGAATTCAACCCAATGTTTGTAGAATCTTCTTCATTGTTGAGAGCAAACTCCTTTTGGCTTTCAGTATGCTCACTTAATTCTTCTTCAATAACAACATGAGTAAGCCTTCGCCTCTTTTGCTTTTTAGATTTATTAGAAACAATCGATTTCACTTTTCTCATAGAACTTTTTTCTTTGGAATTTCTTCTTCATGAATGGAATCAGATCCAATATCTCCAGTAGGAACTGCAGTCTTCAAATATTCAATAATGACAGGATTACCAGCAGGAACCATAGATAACATGGATTGAGAAATTAAACCCACAATCAAGAAATTCTTTGGTTCAAAAGTGACAAACATTGAGGTTTTCATCTTGGGAATATCAGCAATAACAACATCTCTGATCTCTGGAATATGATAATGGAGCATAGCATTTCGCACCATAATTGACCAAAAACGAGCACGGGAAATTTCAATGTCCTTTGTTTTTGAAGCAGGACTTTGAACAAATTGATCCCATAAGATAGTTCCAAAATCAATATTTTCTCCAGTATAGAGTCCATATAACAAAGTATGAAATAATCGACTTGCATTGTCAGATCCAGTTGATCTCTCAGAAAAGCATTTGAACATTATCGTAAAAAATGCATTCCAAATGGGAGGAAGTGCAGACTTCTTAAATTGAGAAAGAACAGATAAATCAGAGATGTACCACATTTGTTGATAGACTTGAATACCAGACGATGCAAAAAAAATTGTCTAGAGCAATCAAATATTCAGCAGTTTAAAGCCCTAGCAACTTGCAGAAATTTGATTTGGAAATAGACGTCTTCACCCCTTGAATTTCAAAGCTCATAACCTCCATATTCTTATTGTAACTAGCAGTTGAATATGCCAATGATAACCAGAGATTTCTTCAGTATAGAATGATCCAAGCAGACGATCAAGGGTTGAACCAGTTAATAATACTTCGAGGGAACGAGAACAACCACCATATTCTGATTTAACTTGATGTTCAGCAATGCAGATGAAGAAGAGTGGTTCATGAAAGAGATACGATCAGAAGAAGCCATGTGATTTGAGCAGGAAATCCTCTATCAAAGGTTGCGTTTTAGGGTTTTTAAGCGTAGAAAGGAAGATGATGAACAGCTAGATTTTTAGACGGTGAGAAAGGTGTTCAATTTGAATATGAACCGTTTATAGGAGTGGAGAGAGAAAACCTGCCACCACACATTAAATATTTTGCATCTCAGATGTCAGCAAACGGAATCACGCCAATCATTCCCAAAATAATATACCAATAAAACGTTGCCACCTCATTAAAATTATGTAACAAACTTCAACCGCCGTCTATTGATCATCATAATGTTAGACCCTTTGAATACACGCCTTGATTTTTTAAAATTCACACGAAACATGCATTTTCAGCTTTCAGCAGTTTCGCAATCACCGATCCACCCTTAAATTTTTGCAAATTGAAATAGTTGTTGGATTAGGTGTCTAAGCCCATAACTATTTTGGTATGTACTTGACCCGATTATGAGCATGATCATTTTGGGTTGCCTTTACTCATGCAACTTGATAGGATGACGAGAGGAGAGATAGTAGAATTTATTATATGAATAATAATTTTTCACTTAAAATGGTTTTATTAATATGTTACAAGATTAATATATTATTTGGAAATCATATTATTTAATTAGTATTGATCAGAAATTAATTTGGTGGTCAAAAGAGACTGATTAAATAACTGGGGACTGTTATGCAAATCATTGATAGTTGTATAAATGGGCTGATGGACTCCATAGAGTGGAGTGGACGAAATTTATAGGGAAGCCCATAAGATTTCGTCCAAGGGCTCTAAGGAAGGAGTCCATGGGCTGCTTGTTTCCTAAGTTTGGTATTAGGGTTTCCACCTGAAAACCCTAGCAGCCACAACTATAAAAAGGACCCCATACAAGGGGATTTTCGTCGATGCCTTTGAAGAAACCCTAAGTGGAAAAAATCCTCCTCTCTCCTACTTCATCCTTTGCATTGAGTGTGTATGATTCCATTAGAGGTGCAACACTTGGGGCACTAAGCTTTCAGAGGTCAAGGATATTCAAGGAGTTCTTGTTATTGCTACATAACAAGTAAGGTAAGATTCCAAACCCTTATTTACATATGATTTTTGAGATTAGTATGTTAGATTAGGGTTTATGCTTTGGAAGATTGTTTGCATGTATAACTTGAGAAGAACCTAGATCCAAAGCATTAGGGTTGCATGTACACCATAGGAATGATGTTATGCTCAAAACCCATCAGTGGTATCAAAGCCTAGGGTAGTTTTTATGTTATATGATGCAAAGGTTAAGTTTTTCAAAGCTGGAAATTTTCGTTTTTCATAATTGAACCAGACTCACGACGTGAGCTCAGTCTGACAGCAGGATTTCAAAATTTTTGCCTTAATTTGCCTTGGATAATTACCATAAATTGTTTTTTCAAATAAAAATCAGATTTTTCAATTATGGTAATTGATATCCTAATCAAATTAATGGATAATTGTCAATTTAAGATAATTACTTGTTTTATAAGATAAAGATTAATTATTTGTATTATGATTTGAATTATCTTGTAAGAAAAATAGATTAGGTCAAATTATGTGATAATTATTAATTATATAATATTTAATTATTTTTCAAATTTGATCTAAAAGATATTTTGAAAAGTTTCAAAATTTTCCCTCAAGTTTTGGAATTTATAATTTAATTAAAAGGCATTAATTTTGAAATATTAAATTCTAGAACCCTAGTGTTTTTGAAAAGTTCAAATTACACCCTTATGGTTTTATTAAATTAATTAAATGTTTAATTAAAAGAGATAATTAATAAATCCATAATAATATGGTTTAAGATTAATAAAATTAAAAGTCTAATTTATTAATAGTTTAAACCACTTAGTATTTTAAAAGTGTAAAATACACCCTTATACTTTATATAAAATTAAAAGTCTAATATATTATATATGTATAAGTAAAGAGTCAGTCGTACCATTAGTAGGCCTCATTCACAAAGCTGGTCTATAAGGGGTGTTTAAGGAAGCGGCCTGTAAAATGACCGCCATTGGGTATCCACTCTTACCCACCGCACCCTTGACTAGTGGAGGGTCATTAGTCGAACAGGTAGGATAGGACACGAACTTCCATTATAAGTATAATGAAATACGAAGTAACTAAACACTTTTATAAATTCCCAAATCTTAGTTACTTTAGGAAAAATGTGGAGTTGGTGCTAATCCATGAAATTGCACATTGCACCTTGTTGGTCGTTAGTGGAGCGTGTGTGGTTAACCGGCACACTAATATGGGACCAATGAAGGATGGCAATGGGTAGCTCGTAGATTATCATAGATCAATGGAGTGTGTGTGGTTAACCGACACATTGATTAGGTGATATACATCTTCGAGAGTACCAAGCTAATTTGGATGGTTATCCACCTTGTTTGTGATCCTCGGTATCCCAGTCACAAACTTGAAGGGCATAATCGGGATTAAACATGCCATTTAAAAGTTCAATGAATCTCTAAAAGATCTAGGAGTTTCAATTCATTTAAAACTTAAATTTTTTTTCGTTTTTCATGGTGGAAATTGGTAAATCGTCATTTACCTACCTTCAAATATTTTGCAACTGGATTACGGCATCCCTCTTCCGAGTTGTAGAATATTGTGTTGGATCCAAGCCTTGGTATTTCATTTGGGTGTTATATCAAGGATTCTTATCAATTAACTTGAATTTTCTCCCATTTTGTAGATGTTAAACAACTATGATTTTCCTGAATCCTTTGGAAAAAGCTTTCCACATGAAGATGATGTTCCACGATTGGATGATGGAAATGAAAATCATGCTTCACTTCCTCCACCTCCTCCAATAATTCTCCCTCACCCACGTGTTCGAAGACTTGAAAAGTTCAAAGTCACTCAAGCCCTATTGGAAAAAAGACATGAATATGGAAAGTCTGTGTGTGCACACGTCTTAGAGATGAAGTCACACATTGACAGGTTGAGGATGTTGGGTGTCGATGTCTCAAGGAAGTTGGTTGTTGACTGGGTTCTTCAATCACTTCATGACTCATATGGCGAGTTCATTAGAGAGTACTATATGATGGACCACGACGTGACCCTCATTGATCTTACCTATTTGCTTATTGCTGCTGAATCAGCAATGATTTGGCGGACTGGTCAAGCAAATTTGTCTGGTAAATCAATGTCCCAACCTTCTATGGACAATGGCAACATTGGAAGTCCAAAAAAGTTTTCTCTATGCAAGAGAAAGGCTAAGTCTGAGATAGTCCCGTGTACCATTCCATAAGAGTCCATATGTTTCTACTGCCAAGAAAAGAGGCATTGGATGCGAAGCTGCCATGTTTACCTGAGAGATCGCAAGAATGGGAGAGTCAAGATGTATGACTCTGCTTCAGGTAAAATCTACTATCTAACTTTATTAAGTTCCTATTTGTAGATTCATAATACATGATGTGATAAGATTACATTTTGATGTTTTGTATGATCGAAGAAAAGAAAGGAAGCTTAAAGGAAAAGTGAGCTGAGTTTGATCGCGAAGAAATGGATTTCGATCGCATGGTTCGATTTTGAACTGCTACTTAGAGAGTTATGATAAATTGCTTAGGAATATGTAATAACATAGTTTTCATTTGAATTGCGTTGTAAGGACAAGTTTTTCCGCGTTTTATAAATAAATGAAATTTTGAGTTTTGTCTTATTTATTTATCCTTGCAATGTTATTTGTGAAAATTGATGTTTGTTTGTTTCTATTATTAGCAATATTGAAATGGATGTGATTCTTAGTTATGTTATTTGTGGTAGTGTCAAAAATTTACCAAATAAGGAAAGATTCTCATCGCCCAAGTCTCAATTGGACAGAAACTTGGAATCATACAACTTGTATTGTGTGATGAATGAAAATCTTCATATTTGGGAAATTAAGACCAATTCCTTGTTCACATAAGAATGTGAGTCAAGTGGAGGACTGGAGGGTCTGGTACACAATGTTGTGCACTGGTCAAGTCAACCACAAAGAACGATGAGACTATTCGTCATGATTTGCTAAAAGTTTAGTAAATATGGTTATACTTACAAGATTAAGTGTAATTATGAATCATTGAAAAGTTTCAACGTATGGCAGAACGAATAAGAAGAATCAATAAGGCAGAAAGATAAAAGGTTTCTCCAATCTGAGAAGAAGGGAGAGTACTTTTGTATCATGTTTTATGATCATCTGAATGATTATGAAATCATATCACAATTGATCCTTTAGGGACAACCTAGTGCACTAGTATGGCTAAGTAGAGGAATCGTGAATTGTTAAAATGGTTAAATCAAAAGGTGAATCATACTTCGTTCCAATATCGAGTCTTAGAGTCATACTCCAAGATTGTGACTTGAGTGACATAGTCTTAAGTAGGTTTATAACACTTATCAAATATGGAATAAGAAAAGTTTGCTTATTTCTGCACATTTGAAATTGGTAAGTTGTGATGTCTTGGATAAGACAAAGACCAACTAAGACTGATTGTGTAAAGTGTTTGTCTTGAAAGGAACCCGCACTAACCCTTGAATATTTTTTTTGTCAAGGAATGTTTCTTGACAAGAGAATCTTATATGTCAAGAGGTCAGTGGGAGTCTTAAAGGTCTTGAAAAAGTTTCAAGAACTAATCAAGAG